TTTTCGGGATTTTTGCGACCCCCCCCCCTCTCGAGAGGGTCCAGTTGCGACCCCCCCCAATACAACCAGCCTTCCTCCACCGCGACCTCTCCCTCTTCTATAGTATTTGATTCTGAGACCAGTTGAAACAGCAACTTTTTTCGCACGCACCTATGCCCTGCGCCCTGATCAGGCGCGCAATGCGCGCAATGCGACCCCCCTCCCCTCCCAGACACACAAATGCGACCCCCCGTTCGAACTGTTCGAACGGACGGTTGACCCTGCTTCCCCTTGCAATTCTCCCGCCATGAAACTTATCCTTCATGATAATTTATTGGTTTGTTCACCAGCAAGGGAATGGCACTCAGCTTCTTCTCTAGCGTCCTCCCTTACGAGTCACGGTCACCTACTCCAATTGATGGCAGCCTTGTGTCTTTATTACGCCAATCCCAACTCACTGATGAGCTCCGGTCATTGACGAAATAAGGTGAAGGTTGAAGGTTCGTCTGAGGAAGGAGCGTAAACGAATCATTCTAATTATTTCGTTTATAATGGTTTTTCCTAATTCTCAAACTTAACAAATACATAGGTAAATAAGAAGATCCGCATATTACATTCGAACCTCGAGGCATTTCAAGGTCTCCCATGTTCACTCTTGGCATGCTGTTCTAGAAATAGTAGTTGGACTGGCTTTTCTTCAGGTTGCGCACTTGAATACAACGAAGGTCTTTGCCGAGAACTCTATGCAGTCTCTTATTCCTTTATAGTTTATTGCTAATAATTAACGCTTATTGGCTTGCAACCAGTTGGCCTTTCTGATTTGATATATAACTGATGAGCTTCCCAATTTATAACTCAGCAAATTCCGCAAGCCATACGATAGCCCATATACCGAGTGCTTGTAGTGCTTTGGCTACATTCAAGCTTCGCATGGGTCTCTTTTAAAGACCCTGTAACACACCTTCTCCATATTCACTCCAATCTGTTGCGCTTTCTTGTTGTCACCAACCAGAAGAGCACCCGTTCGTTCACGAGTCATAGTGGTCAGCACGCCTTCAGCTGCACTCAGACGATCACAAGCGTTGTCGCATAAATGGGCCTAAAATAAAGCTTTGACGAGAGAATATTGCGTACGATTCTGCTAACAAATAATTCTTAGTTTGATTAGAGAACTGTGGCTGACTGACAGCTATCGGATCGCGCCACCCCACCTAGAAATCAATCAACAAGGCTTTATAGGTTGAACAGGACCATTTACCAGGACGTCTGGATAGTAACGGCAAGTGGGGTATTCCAAAACGCATTACCCTGGTATGAGATCCCGTATGAAGCCCGCACAAGGTGACCGGACCCTCTATCCTACAGGGTCACTTGGTGAGTATCGATATCTGTGAAAATAAAACACCGACTTGAACATTGACTGGTCTCATCCTTATGCATGGGCTAAGTGTCGTTCAAATGGTGCTAAGACTTTATATAGAACCAGTTGGCGCCGCACGCATTGCGCGCGCAACACAGATCTGCGGCGAATTTTGATGGTGCGACGAAAAATTTCAAATTTGGCTTGATACAATACGAATATCTGAATTCTCCGCTAAATTCTATGCGCTCTTTCTTCGTCAACCATTATCCTATTTTTCTCGCGTGCCCTGCCGACCAATAGCATTTGGCTCCCTTCTTTTCGCCGACCTCTACCCCCTTTTTCACCGGTCTCTGGGACCTCTTGGAACCAAATTACGACACTTTTGGCAAACTCCGCCCACTTAGGTGCGTGCTCTACCCACTAATAGCAGTTGACCTCCTTTCCTTCGCCAACCTCTTTTCCCAGCCTCCGGACTTCTTGGAGCCGAGTTATGAATTTTCGTCGCAAACTCCGCCCACTTTGGTCAAGCCCCGCCCACCATTGACAGCTGGCCTCCACTCCTCCACCCACCTCCATCCACCTTTTCCCGGCCTCCGGGACTTCTTGGAGCCGAGTTATGAATTTTCGTCGCAAACTCCGCCCACTTTGGTCAAGCCCCGCCCACCGATGACAGCTGGCCTCCACTCCTCCCCTCCACCCACCTCCATCCACCTTTTCCCGGCCTCCGGGACTTCTTGGAGCCGAGTTATGTAGTTTGGGCG